GGGATTGAACTCAGGCCCTTGTGCTTGCCAAGGAAGTGCTTATTCTACTGAGCCATCTCCCCGGCCCCAAGGATTAAATTTTTTTTTTTTTGGCGGAACCGGGGATTGAACTCAGACCCTTGCGCTTGCCAGGGAAGCGCTTATTCCACTGAGCCATCTCCCTGGCTCCACCAAGGATTGAATTTAACCCTCCTATTTTATAAAAGATAGACCTGAGGTCACAACGAGTCAAAGGAACAGCATAAGCTTGCTTAGAGAGTTGATACTGGAAACATCTGATTCATATCCAACAATCACAGCCAATAGCTGCCTCAGTGCAAGGTAGGTGGCAACCCCCAGAACATTTCAATTTAATTAAGAGGGACAAAATGCAGAGATAATATAATCATGAAATAGTGAATGAAAAATTAAAGTTCAAAGGATGTAGTTGAAATATCAGGGGAAATGAGAATTTAGAAACGTGCAGCTGGCAATTAGGAGTGGAGTTGGGGCCTTGAAAACTGGACAAGGAGCCGGGGAGATAGCTCAGTAGAATAAGCACTTCCTTGGCAAGCATAAGAGCAAGAGCCTGAGTTCAATCCCCGGTTCTGAAAAAAAAAAAAAAAAAAAAAAAAAAAAGAAGAAAGAAAACTGGACAAGACTGCAGTGGGTTTGGATGATACAAAAGGGAAAGTATCTGTGTTCCAAAACAGTTCCTGGATTACATTGTGAGACCCTGTTTTAAAAATAAATGCCAGGGGCTGGGGAGATAGCTCAGTAGAATAAGGGCTTGCCTGGCAAGAACAAGGGCCTGAGTTTAATCCCTGGTTCCGCATAAATAAATAAATATATATATAAAAAAACAACAACAACAAATGCAGGCCAGGGAGATAGCTCAATGGCAAAACACATTCAAGTTCCTGAGTTGATTCCTGGTACCAAAACAGAAACAAACAACCAAAAAAAACCCCCAAACAAATGCAGGTGTTGGGGGCAGGGGAGATGGCTTAGTGGAATAAGGCATAAGGGCCTGAGTTTGATCTCCGTTTCTGCAAAACAAAGCAAAACAAAGCAACACAAAGATTCAGGGGCCAGGGAGATGGCTCAGTGGAATAAGCGCTTCCCTGGCAAGTACAAGGGCCTGAGTTCAATCCTCGGTTCCGCCAAAAAAAAAAAAAAAAAAAAAAAGAATCTGGATGAAATATTCAACATTGAACACGTATGGATACCTCCCAAATTTGATCAGGTTTCTGGAGCTTTGTGGAAAGACATTATTCCTAGTGTTAGAAAATTTTTTTATTTATTTTTGGATACAAAGTCTTGCTTTGTAGTATACATTGGCCTACTCAGTATGTAGCCCAGGCCGGTCTTGAATTTACTATGTAGCCCAGTGGCAATCTTCCTGCGTCAGCCTCCCCACTGATGGGATCACAGCTATGCACCACCATGTTGGGCAGGAAGTCTCATTTTAGAGAGAAGAGCCAGGGGCACAAAACCAAACTAGAGCATGTAAGCCAGAAGGATGCAATGGGAAGAGGTGATCTGTTTGTGCCTCAGACTGAGCCCTTGTACCGCCATCAAAAATCGGCGATTTCTCACCATCTCATTGTGTTTAGCAAACCTTTTCTGTGTTGCTAATGGAGTACCTTTTGGGACCAGGGAGATAGTTGAGGGGTGTAAGCGCCTGCCTGGCAAGCACAAGGTCCTGAGTTCAATCTCCCTGGTACAGAACAAAAAGCTTATTTTTGCAGGTACCATAATTGAGAGTTGCTTTTTTATTTATTTATTGTTGGGTGGAACCAGGGATTGAACTCAGGCCCTTGTAGGCAAGCAGTTATTCTACTGAGCTATCTCCCTGGCCCCCCCTTTAAAAAAAAAAAAAAACAAAAAACAGGATTTCCAGGCTTTCTCTGTCCTCACAGTCCTATAGAATCAATGTGGCTAGAGAAATACTCCCACTTTTTTGTGTGTTTTTTTTGTCTTTTTTAGACAGGGTCTCCCTTGTAGTTCAGGGTGCCCTTGAGCTCACTTTAGAGCCCAGGTTGGTCTGGACTGTGGAAGGATCCTCCTGCTTCAGCCTCCGTGTGCCTGGGATTATAGTCATGTGACACCACACTTGGCTTTTTGGTTTTGAGTACAGGCTGTACAGGCAGGCCTGGCCTCCAACTCACTGGGAATTTTCTGCTTCAGCCTTCCAAGTGCTGGGAACACAGGTGTGCATCACTGCACATGGCTTCCTTCACTTGAGGAGGTCAAATAGGTAAAAAGAGAAGTTCAAACAGTCAGGTGAAAAGAGCTAATTATGTGGTGTTTTTGTTTAAGGGCAAAGCAAGGAAAGGTAAGATGTGGCCTAGTCAGGAAGACATGGCAGCCAATCTATTTTTCTTTTTCTTTTTTGTGGAACCAGGGATTGAACTCAGACCTTTGCGCTTGCCAGGGAAGCACTTACTCTACTGAGCTATCTCACTGGCCCTAACATGGTTTTCTACATGTAGTGTTGGCAACCTGGAGCTGCCCCAAGGCAGGTGATGCCACAAGCCCAGTCATCTGAGGAAACCACATGAAACTCATCTGTTAAAGACAAAACAAACAAACAAAATTTATGTTACTTGATATCCCCCTGGGGCCAACAGATCTGATACCAAATTTACAGAAAGTTGTTTAAAACCTTAACAGTAGCTGGGTGTGGTGGTGCACGCCTATAATTCCAGCACTAGGGAGGCTGAAGCAATTCAGGGCCAGCCTAGCCTGTACAGCCAGACTCTGTCTTTTTGTTTTTCCCCGCTAGGACCTGGGATTAAACTCAGAACTTTGCGCTTGCTACCAGGGCACTTATGCCTCTGAGCTATTCCTGGCCAGACCCTGTCTTAAAAAAAAAAAAAAAAAACCTAAGCGTGAAAGAGCAGACACTTCCAGTACTCAGGTCCTAATGATCAGAAAGGCTATTGGAAACATCTAGTAGCAAGTCATCCTTTATTTTTTTGTGGTACCAGAGATCGAACTCAGGACCTTGTGCTTGCCAGGCAAGCACTTTCTCCACTGAGCTATCTCCCCGGTCTCTCAAGTCATCCTTAGAGGCACTGGGGTGGTCAGCACTGAACTGTACAATGGAATGTGTGCTACTGTATCTTTCCCAGTAACCCAAAACAGGTTTTGCAGTATCTAGGACACAAGAGGTTATTATTTACTTTTGATTGTGACAGGAACTTAAGAAAAAGTCATCTCATTTTAGAAAGCGTTCTGGTTTTTGGAAAGGGTAAAGTAGTAACTAAAAGGCTTTTTTAAGAAGGCATTTTATCTCACTCGAAGCTTCCAGCAAGGGGCCCCTTCTGAGCGTCCGCAGTGCTCTTAGTCCTCCCAGGGCCTGGGTGCCAGTAATTTGCAGGTGAGGACCCTCAGCGCGCTCGGAGGCCATCGACTGATATGCTGCAGAAAACGGTCAGGGCACTAGCTGAGCCCAGGCCTCGGATCTCTGTTTCTTAGACCCTTCTAGACAGTACCAGGGCATCTCCTACCACGGGGCAAACAAAACCTACCAGTACTGAGCTGAGCCCACTTGTCGGGAGAGACACAGATACTGAACTGCACAGGGACCCTGGCTCTTTTTATTCACGTTCGCGCGACAGAGCACAGAAAAACACTTCTCTAAAAACCACACCTAAACCCAGGAAATTCACAATGCAGAAGAAGGGCGACGCGAGACGCGGCCAAGCAGTCAAGAACGAGGCCAGAGCGCGTCCCCAGGGCCGCGAGCCGGCGATCCGTGGCGGGCCGGGCAGGTGGCCTCGGCGTTCAAGGCGCCTCCTCGCACTCGGCCGGCCCCGAGGCTCGGTCTGCAGATTCTCCTTCTCTCTGCCTCGAAGTTGTCGTGTCGTCCGCCGTCAACCTGGCCGTGGGCACCCGGGGCACCCCGGGGTCCTCCGGGACGGCCGGGTCTTCGCCCCCGGAGCCCGGCGACGCCCCGGTGGCCGCAGGCGCGCGCGTGGGGCCGTGAGCAGCCGCGGGGCGCGGTGACCTCGGGCCACCCGGGCCGCCCGCGGCGCGCTGGCGGCCAGAGAGCGAGGCGCTGTCCTGAGGTGACACCGGCCGCGGGCAGGAGCCTCGGGCGAGGATTCCTCCTGGTGCACGGCCCAGTTTCCCTCAGGACCGGCTGCCCGCCCCTGCGCCGCCCCCCGCCGCACTACGGGGCCGCCCCGGAGCCTCGCGTCCCCGCCGGCCGCCCGCGCGGTTCCTCGATTCCACAGGCGGTTCGCGCCGCGGGTGGGGGCGGGGCGCGGGCCGGGCGGGGAGTTCCTCGCTCGCGGACCACACGCTCCGCCGGCCAATCCCGAGCCAGCCTCTCGCGGTGTCGCACGCGGGACACGTCCAAGCGTTTGTTGGCAGGGCCCGCGATGGGAGGGGGCGGGGAGCAGGAGGGGGAGGAGGGAGGAGATTTGAGTGACAGGCCCCGCGGGGCACGCTGGGAATTGTAGTTCCCAGCTCCCGTGGCCATAGCCATTTTGTAGTCGGGGGACTACAACTTCCAGAAGATCAAGGGGACCATTCTAAGGTGCCCCGGGAAAAGGAGGTGCTCCCCGGGGCCAGGCGTCCTGGGGCACTAGTCCCCAGCTGCTTGGCTGCAGGTAGGCACGAGGGCAGAGGTTGGGGGTCGCGTCTGGCGGCTGTGGGTTGAGTCGCAAGCAGGGGAAAGGGGTTGAGGTGGAGCGACGGAGCGTGCCATGCATTGAGCTAGGGAGTCTCTCTCAATTCCGCTCCTGGACTCGGCGTGGGAGCGATCTGGGAGGACGTGTCCGGGGTGGGTTTGTGAAGGGTTCTCGGGTGTGTACCCGACGGGGATGAGGGAGTGTTCTAGACTGGGCCAGGGGCGGTGGGCGCCGGGGTAGGCAGGCCCCCAGTAGCTGAGCTGTGGGAATTTTCGGCTGGTGTGCGGCGAGGAATTAGCCGAGGAGCCCTAACTTGTATAAAAGCAGAGTCCATTTAAAGTTGGGCTGGATAGCCTCTCTCTCATTGGTCAGGGCGCTTGGAAAAAAGAGACTCGGCGAGCCCTCGCCGTGGTGCTCCGCCGCCGCCGCCGCCGCCGCTGGAGTTGACTCTTCTCGCACTGCCGCTGCAGCACAAACGTGACTTCCAACATTTTTTATTTATCTTTCCCTTTTCTTTTCCAAGATGTAACTACAGATCAGACACTAAGGACCTTCACGTTTCGCTGATGTAGTTTTTGGAGGAAAAAAGGGGGGGAGTGAAGGGCGTCGGTTTTTTTTTTTTCTTCTTTTTTTGTGTTGTATGTGTTTCGGGGGAAATTTTCCATTATGAGTGTTTTACTAAAGTGATTTTTTTTGTTTGCTTCGTTCGTCTTTGGCTCTTGTTTTTGTTTTTTTTTCCTTCCCAATTTCGGATTTATTTCAAGGCGAATCTGGCTTTGGGGAAAGAGGAAGAAAAGTCGGATTACAAGATCAACCACCACCACCAACAATAAAAACCACCAGGATATTTTTTTTTTGCAAATTTCTGACGGCTTTAAATTCATGAAGCAATTGTCCCCTTTTGCAATCAGCATTTGGATCTCAGAATGAGCAAGGAAAGACCCAAGAGGAATATCATTCAGAAGAAATACGTAAGTGCTCCTAACAACACATCCTTTGACTTGCAGTTTTAAGCAATGGCTGTGAATGTCAAGTTTATAGATAATTCTGCAGCTGAAGGGTTTTAAACACAGCGTCCGGTAAGGCTGTTTCTTTCTTTTCTGAAAGAGGGCTTTTCAGGCAAAGTCGTGTCTGCCTAGTTGGGTTGAAAAAACAGATTTGTATGGAGATACCTCAAGTGAAGAAATTGACCTCGAGTGACACGACCATAATCTAGTTTTACGTGAAAGGCAAGGGACTTGGGGGAGCTTCAGGTAGGGGGTGGCTGCAGTAATGTAACTAAACTGCATTCTCGGGCAGATTTGGTCCTGTATTGCACTTTGCATGCAAATGAGCTCGTGTTATTATTAATGTTATTGGGAACATCGTGTAAGGCGTGTGTTGAAAGACCTTTAAGTTTCAATCGAGGGTCCGATGATGGCGATCTTCCTGCACTGGTACATCGAATTTTATGTATGTGGTCGTACGGGCTTACCTGGTTTGCTACATAAACCAGTTGGGTAGCGTGTTACAGCAAATGCATTTGTTGGAATTGACTTTAATAATGAGGCTGGTTTTGTTTAATTCATGGTTTGCAGTTTTTGGAGAAAAAGGCACACACTGTGGCTAATGTTTGTAAGTACGTGAATGCATATGTAAGTTGACTACAAAATAATTGAACTGGGCTCCTGAAATTAAGTGCTTATTACGAGACTTCAGTGGTCTGGAATAGTTAAATTTGTTTTGTGCATATACAGCTACGTTTTGATTGGCATGGTGAGTGTTTTTGTTTTGTGTGTGGTGCCTTTTTTTTTTTTTTTTTTAAGTTTGGGGGGAGGGAGTAGAGAGGGGGACCGAGGGCTTAACCAAATGTGCTCTCGAGTGATCCGTGATTAGCTGCATGCTTTAAAGCGAAGAACTCATTTTACCCCTAGAAAAAGGCCAGATGAACACACATAAGGAATAATACGTTACAAGAAAGTTTTATTTAACTCGAGTCGACAAATGGGTGTTAATATTTTCCCTTTCTGATCTATGTGGAGTGTGTAATGGGAGATGACCTTCGGGGCAGTGGTTTTGTAAAAATATTTAATGGAAAAGCTGAATGCCTCTTCGGCGGGGGGGCGATCCTAATCCAGACCTATAAACTTCAACTGTGAAAGAAATGCAAGGTTAAATAATCAAGCTCAACTTGCAAAGCTCTTCCATAAAGAATTTAAGAATTAAAATACATCCGCATTGCAGAGGGCTGGGTAGAATGCAATGGACTCGTTTCAACTCGGGCTGCACAAACTGCACGGGGACAACCTTGCCTCTGAGCGTGGACGCCTTCCCCGGGCACGTCGTTTCGGATTCAGCCACAAAGCAGATGGGGTAGAACTTGGACAAGAACCGCCCCCCTCCCGTTCCGGACATCGTTAAGTTGGAGAGCGGCGCGGGGTGGGTTTTTTTGTTGCTGGCGGCTCGCGGATCGTGTCGAGTCCCGGCGTCCGGCCGTGAGCTCGTGGCCGGCGGCGGCGGCGGAGGGAAGGAGAGCCCTAGTTCCCGCAGCGGGAGCAGAGCCTGGGTGCCCGGCGCGCTCGAGGCGGCGGTCGCGGCGGCTGGGAGGGCGCGAGGGGGTCGCGGCGGGCTTGGCCGGG